TTCTCCATGTTTTTCTTGGCTGTTCAAGAGTGAATTTCCACAGCAAATTTGTTTTCAGAATGCCAAATTGTGATACAATCGCTGGCTTCACGTTTCTGAATACCTTTAATAGTTTCTCTGCACTGCAATTTGTAAGTTTCCTTGTCCTGGCACAGTCGATAAACAAAGAAACCCAAGCCATCAATGTTTTCAATTCGATCAGTAATAACCATGTTTTCGTGAATCAGGTATGACTGAGGCAAATAGGTTCCAGCCTTGATGTTGATGAGTAACTCCAACAGGTTTCTGGGAGGCATAACAATGCAAGTATTCAGAGGGATCACACAGCACTTTCCAGGTTAAGATCTAAATAGGCAGTGAGTTTCTTGTTAAAATCATGAACAATGTTGGCAGGATCACCATCTGCAAATTCTGGAACAGGCACACTGATGAATTCAATCTCATTTTCTTTAAAGATCTTAATATTTTCTTCAGTAGCAAGCAGCTGGGGCATCTGCAGAAGGCTCATTTAGGATGACATCATCTTTAATGTACTTTATTCCACAGTGGTACGCGTCATCTGGTTGAAGTGCAAAGTATTTGTACAGGTATGCTCCTCCTAGAATGACCCCTGCAAGTATCAATGCTAGTCCAAAGCACATGCACCAACACCAGGCTCTTCTTTGGCCAACTGGTACCACATCATTTAGGTGCTTGCAGTCCAAGGCGACAGCACCCGGGAGGATGATGAGCGCCTCCTCGCCACTCTAGCTCATCAGCTCGTCCTTCTTGATGTCCTTCTAGGCCAGAGCCGAGTGGAACGTCACCCTCACGATGGTGTGGCCTGGGGTGCCCCAGAGCAGGCTGGAGGCGCATGCTATGGGCTCCCTGCTGCAACTGCAGTCTCCTTGACGCTGCTGGGGCTGTGACTCTGCGGACGCTGATGGGGTCGGGGAGCTGCGCAGTGGCTGAGGCAGCTACAAATACCTAAGTTTTCTGGAGGAAAATGTAGGTAGAAATCTTAAAGACATAGGCATAGGTAAAGAGTTCATGAATAAAAACCAAACTGCATGGAAAATACTTCAAAGAATCAACAACTGGGATCTCATTTTTTAAAAATTTTCTGGACTTTAAGATAAATCTCCAACAAAGTAAAAAGAAAACCAACACAATGGGGAAAAGAAATTATAGCCAACTGTCGCTCAGACACAGGCCTTCTATCTAGAACATACAAAGAATTTTTTTAAAAATTCAAAGACGCAATCCAAAAACAGGCATCTATGATGAATATACACTTCTCAGAGGAAATACAAATGGCAAGTAAATGTATGAAAAGATGTTCAACATCATTGGCCATTTGAGAAATGCAAATTAAAACAACAGTAAGTTTCCATCTCACTCTAGAAAGAATGGCTAACATCAAGAGGTCAGCCAATAACATGCTGGAGAGGCTGTGGAGAAAAAGGAACCCTTCTGCACTATAGGTGAGAGTGCAGACTGGTACAACCACTGGAAATCAGTGTGGAGAATCCTTGAAAAGCTAGAATTGGAGGTCCCATTCAAGCCAGCTCTTTCTCTCCTAGGTATTTCTCCAGAAGAACTGAAAATATCATACCACAGCAATATACATGCACCCATGTTTATAGCAGCACAATTTGTAATAGCTAAATCCTGGAAACAACCGAGATGTCCACGAACTGAAGAATTGATGAGGAAGATGTGTTTTTATACAATGGAGTATTATTCAGCTGTAAAACAGGATAAATTTGAGTTTTTTGTGTGTAAATAGATGCAACTAGAGAACATACTCTGAAGTGAAATAAGTCAGGCCGGTATGTGCAAACATCCTGTTGTTTCCTTGGTGTAAGAACCTGAAAGAGAAAAAATGGAATCTGAAGGGCGTGACAGATACTGGGAAAAGACGGTATACAGACAACTTACTCAAAAGGAAAGAGTTGCTAAGTTGAGGAGAAGTACAAGACAGAGAGTGGGGGAAAGACTTATCATGTATGTAAGTAGGATGGCTTGGACAAGTGTACTTGTACTGCACGCTTCTGCTGGTCTACGAACAGAAGCAGTTAGTGCTTTAACTTGTTTCATCTCCTTTTCTGAATTGTTTCTCCTTATTGTCTTAATTTCTTGTGCATTTCTTTTTTCTTCTAATTTTACATGCATATATCTGTTAATATGAATAACTGGTTGGAAGGCAACACTGTATTGCAACAAATACTGTGAAATTCATGTTATTGAGTGAAAATCTGTATCAGTTGTAGTTTTTACAACTGTTTTAATTCTGATTTGTAGTCTCTTCAAAAAATAAAGTTTTTTTTTTTTAAAAAAGAATATTGTTTTCTATACCTAGAAGAGGTCTCTAGATAGAGGTCTTAGGTTTTTCTACCTAAAATTGCTTTCAAAATTCTTTCACATGTAAATTAATGACAAGTGTTTCTGATATCCACAACATTAATGAAGGGGTGTATTTGATGAATTCAGAAATTTGAAAGGTTATACAAATACCTTATTATTAGGTATTTATCGCCCCCTAGTGAAATTTCATGTCTTTTTTTTTCCCCCAGCATACATTATTCTTTCAGAATTTATTCTTTTGCACCACATGCAGTGCGGGGCCTGTCCCTGGGCATGCTGAATTGGCAACTGAGTCCAGGCGTGGTGGTACAGGCCTGTAATCACAGCGCTGGGAAGGCTGAAAACAGGAGGATCAGTATGAGTTCAAGCTGTGTAGTGACTCTGCACCAAAAAGAAATAATAATAATTTATTCTATTAAGAGAATAAAACATAGTTTAAAAAAAGCATTAGAAATGATTCAAGATTTCACTAAACAAAATGGTAAGAGTTCAACAGTGGTTGCTATATTACACATTGTTGTCCTCAGATTAACTATTCAGATTGCCAGATATAAGCATGCAAAATCAGTCAAAATTCAAAAGAGGAAAAAAATGTAAGCATTAATTGTCCTTTCAGTAGACCAGTAGAAATCAGCAGTACAATTATACAAGTTATCCTGTGCATGTATTTTTTGCCTTTCCTTCTTTCATTTCTGCTTTCTCCCCAGTCGGTCCTTTCCTTTGAACACTTTCTTTCCCTTTCATCGTTTCTATTGTGCCTTTGGGATTTTATTTGCCCTTTCGTGTTTTTACACTAGGGAGATAATACGATGCTTACACATACTTCCATCTAATAGTTTCATTAGTGTGTAAGAGGGAAAAGTTGGAAACGAGAAGCCTTTTTTTTTTCTGTAGTGCTAAGGGGTTCAAATTTGTTCCCTTTTTTAACTCATACCTGACAGTCTTAAGGTCTAAATCTAATTTTTCAGGAACTTTACTTGTAGAAATCATCATCATCAGGTGATTGCTTATTATCAGCCAAATAGTTAAAAAGTATATGAATTAACTCATTAAATCTTGACAGCATTCCTGTACCATAGGTGTGACAGACAAATGCTCTATTGTATTGTTGAGGAAACTGAGATTCCTTTGGATGTCATGGCTAGAATGTGCAAGTGGGCTGGTTATTAGGTCTGGATTGGGTGCCACATGTGGTGTTCAAGGAGCCTTGCTAATCCTTGCAATTATACGTCTCTTACCCCCAGTAAAGGTGCTTGCTGGCTGCTGCTACTCCCTTTAGGTGCTTATAAGGCATGATACAGGGGTCATCTTGTTTGGTCATTTGGTTTGTTGCTACCATATGCTTGACCATCTTGTCACCAAAAAAGTAGTGGCAGGTAGGTCGAGCAAATACTTTTTGTGTGGTATTAGGCTGGCCCATGTAGGATAGCTGCCGCTTTGATGCAGGCCGAATTTGGCTTTATGATTTCCTGCTCACTGTCTTTATCAGCCGCTCTGCAGTGACTGCTTTATGCCTAAGGGTTGGCACAGCAGTCCCTTCTCCTTCATCTATAGCTTCCACTCTTTAAGCTGTTTACGGTTTCTGGAGGATAGTGTTCTGTAAGATGAATAAACAGCTTACTAAATTGGTGAGTACTGCAAGTAGTAGGATAAAGGTAAATGGGGGGGGAGTAAATAGCAGTATAAAAAAGTAATTTGCTTAGAAAGAGCATGTTTTAAGAACCAAGTTAGCTATCCTTGTTCTGCCATTTTTATAAGCTGTTTCCTTGTCACTTTTTCTCATTCTTGAATCTGTAGTGTTTCTCTGTCTGTCTGGCTTTTTCAGACAGGGTCTCTTTGCACCTCAAGCTGGGCTTGAGCTCACTTTGTAGCCCCATGTGGTCTGCATCTCGCAATGATCCTCAGCCTCCTGAGTGCTGGGATTACAGCTGTGCCTCACCAGGCTGCCCTTCAGTTGCTTTCTTCCTTTTTTTTTTCCCCTTTAAGAGTAGATGAAAGCTTGAGGAATTTGAGGACTGTGAATTGGAACTTGAGAGTAGAGCAGCATTCTCTCCCAAAACCGATAAATTTCAAATTACACATTTGATAATGCATGTATGTCTTCAGACTTATATGTGTTGCTGAAGATATCAGGATATAGTTCTTATTTGTACATTTAAAGAAAGATTCTTCAGAGATAAGGGGGAGTACTTATCTTTTTAAGAGGAATGAAGAACAGTGGAGTCCCTTCTGCCTCTAGGGAAGGACAGTGAAGAAGTCTGAAGAAACCTGGCAGGTGTTCAGGAGCTAAGATCCTGGTTCCACTCAGCTTGGAGACTGCTAGGCAGGGAATAGAATACTCCTCATGCTAGTTTGAGTTACTATCATCTTCTGAAAACCTAGGCTTTTGATTTTACTTCTTTGAAAATAAATAAGTAAGTAAATATTTACATACTAAATACTTCTGTGTTTAACAATCCCTTTAAACTTTAAATACTTTCAGAAGATACACATCTTTGGCTATGTGTTCTATTATTTCATAGACTTAATGTGTGTTATTTTAAGGTACTTTTTTGTTGCAAGAACAATATTTACTTGTTTTTTTTTTCTCCCAGATAGGCAAACAGATTTGTTTTAAGTAACTTTTTCATGGCTTGTTTTATTTTTCCTCATAGAATACGAATAGCCGGAATAAGAGGTATTCAGGGTGTGGTTCGCAAAACAGTTAATGATGAACTTCGGGCTACGATTTGGGAACCTCAGCACATGGATAAGATTGTTCCATCTCTTCTGTTTAACATGCAAAAGATAGAGGATGTTGACAGGTATTCCATGAAGAGGTTCGGTTGAGACTGGGTTTTTGTGTATATGTGTATGTGCTTGCCACGATAAAAATATTTTATATTTAGTTTTAAGAAAGTAGTAGCCTTCAAGTTAATTGAATTTCAAAGTGTGTATATTTCTGGGAAAAATTAATCTGTGGTGATCACATTAGGTTTTCCAGGTCACACTTATTGCTCCTTTTATTGTTGAGTGTCCAGATTATTACTTTAATGTTGCTAAATGTTGTCAGCATGAGAACTTTGCTTTCCTTTGTTTTCTTTTTTGCTGGTACCAAGGATCGAGCTCAGGACCTTGCGTTGCCGGGCAGGTGCTTTTGCTGCTGAGCTATTTCCCTGGCCCTGGAGCTGAAGTTCTTTCATTCTGTAGAGTGGTAGCATGTCTTATTTTAGAGAGTCAGAATAACCAACATGATGATAACAGTAGCTATTCATTATGTAGCTGGATTTCAGTGAGACTAGATGCTGTTCTTTTCTCATTCATTTTTCTAAGATATTTTGAAATGGAACATTGTTTTTGATGTATGCTGATTTTCCTTTCTCCCCTCAGCATTCAGTTGCAGCAGCAATTCTGTGCTTTCGTTCCTTTTTTCTTGTGCACCAAGCATGCGTTCTTTCCACATTTCCATTGCCCTACATAGCAGTTGTGTTGATTAAGCCTCAAACACAGGATTCTCCAATTTGGCTTGTTACTTATAGCCTTCTTGATTCTTGCAATCTGAAGAGGAAAAGCTGAAACAAATTTAAAAACATGAGTTAAATCTGTGGTTCTAAAATTGAAACTGTACAGTTTCCATTTTGTGTATGTGATATCTAAATAAAAGTGTGCTGTGGAGGAGATATCACTGATAACTGTAGTGTCACTTATTGTTCATTTAAATTTATAACTTAACAACCAACTTAGGGTTTCTTGAGATATTACCATCTCCGTCTTTAGTATCATTTTTTCAAGTGTGAAACTTTAATGCCTTCTACACTTTTCCTATTCTTCTTTTTTTTTTTTTTTTTTTTTTTTTGCGAAACTGGGAATTGAACTCAGGCCCTTGCACTTGCCAGGGAAGTGCTTATTCCACTGAGCCATCTCCCCAGCTCCTCTTTTCCTATTCTTGATACTACAGCTGAAGCTAAAGTTTTTCAGTCAAAAGCGTTTACAAATCAAGAAATCATAAGCTAGTCAAAACCCATTTCCTGTTAAGATTCAAGGTTAGCAAAAGATCCAGGAAACAGAGACCATTGTTTGCTGTATCTTGAGAAATTGTGTTTTTTGTTGTGCTACAGGTAGATTTTCCTGTTGCTGTTGTACATAATTGGCCTCAAATAATGTTTCAACATGTTAATAAAGCATTGTTTCTTGAGTTCATTTCCATGTATAGGTGTTCTATTTAACTTTTAGCATTTATTTTTTATTCACAGATGTGTTTTTCAGATTCTTTTATTTAGTCCACTTAGAGTTAAAGTAGGGTATGTCACCATGGTTTTGTGACACAGTTCTTACAGAGATTCTACCATAAATATAAAGGGTGAATTGAATAAGGAGCAAGCTGCCGAGTGTTTTGTTTATTTATATGAAGTTGGAAACAAGTTATATAACTTCATTTACTTCTCCTAAATTCAAAGATTTTATGATTAACTTTTTTTAGTGATAACTTTAATAGTATTAAATTTTATGAAGTTAGAATTAAGTTTTAAAGTTATTTGAGAATACACATGTCATTTTAGCATTTCAAAGAAATTGAAATTAACATTAGACCATTGAAATTAACATTAGAATTCTTAAATGAGTTTTATTTCTTCTGTTAGCCGGATCGGCCCCCCTTCTTCTCCTACAGCTGACAAAGAAGAGAATCCTTCTGTGCTGGCTGAGAACTGCTTCAGAGAACTGCTGGGTCGAGCAACTTTTGGAAACATGAATAACGCTGTCAGACCAGTTTTTGCGTAAGTCATGGGTGTTTTTCTGGTCATTTGCAGTTTTGCTTTGTTAATTCCATACGTTCTTACAGAGGACAAATCATTTTTTACTTGTATGCTGAAGTTACTATTGGAAACAGCCTAACGTTGAGGAAGTAGCATAGGGATAGGTTAGATGTTGCATATTTGATCACTAGTTCAGCCAATTAGCTTTTTTTATCCTTTAAAGTATTGTGTATAATACTGTGTGTATCATTTAACTTAAATATGTCTGTACAGACTTTGAAATGCAGTAAAATATTAGAACAGTGTCCAACTATCTTGTTTTAAAATGTCTGTGGTCACTTCTATTTCCTGATTTCTTTTTCTAGACCTTGTTATTGCCATGACTGAACTGCTTTACATAGTGTTTATTTCTCTGAGTAAATTTCCTGTTAATCAGAGACCAGTTAGAGTCAAAGCATTAAGTATCTTCTTGCCCCTTATATTCTCTTCTCTGAGTGAAATGCATTTATAAGCTTTGGGCTTCTTTTTTTTTTTTTTTTTGGTGGAACCAGGAATTGAACTCAGGCCCTTTCGCTTGCCAGAGAAGTGCTTATTCCACTGAGCCATCTCCCTGGCCCAAGCTTTGGGTTTCTTACGTAAACATTTTCTCCCAAACCTCGTCAAGTCTTGTATTTCTAAATTATCAGATAATAGATCAATTATACATAATTCAATGCAGTTTGTGAACTTTTTGCTGTTCTTTTGATAAAATTTACCATATCCTTTCCCCCTTCTTACTGCAGTAATGGGCTTAGCATATATAAAATATTCTGAATATCAGCCTCCCGAATTCTTTATTTAGAATGGGTGATTCTACCCTAGGGCTCAGATTTGAACATTAGGCACTAGAATCTATACACCACAACTTTTTATTCAAAATCAGACAACCGCTAGATTCCTGGAGGAATCTATGATCCTTTGGGCCTCCCTGCCCCATTTGAGATTTACTACTTTAGTTCTTCTGGGCTTATGGAGATGCTACTAAGAATAACCCCACTTATGTTAGTATATTGAAAGCAGTTTAACTTTTAATGTCCAAATATATGAATTTATTTTTATCTTAAAACTTAGGGAGAGGGCTGGAGAGATGGCTCAGTGGTCTAAAGCACCTACTTGGAACAAGCTTGGCAAAGCACAGGGACCGCGGTTCGATCCCCCAGCACCACATGCCAGCCAGCCCCGCCCCCTGGTGGGCTGAGCTGGCCACACACATACACACACTAAATAAAAATGTAATGTAATAAATAAATAATTAAAAAAAAAAACTTAGGGAGAGGTAGTCTATGAGGTCTAAACATCTAGAGGACTGACCTAGGAGGTAGCCAGCTTAATTCTACTTGAATTTAGTTACTGGAAGTAGCCAGTATTTTTATGTGTGACTTACTGAATGTAAGTCCTGGTTGTGTAGTAAATTAAGAGTTAATTAAATATTATGTAGTTATGTAGTAGCTGCATAGTTAAGCGCTAAATGTTCTCTGTAAATTAGGGTACTGGGGATATGTTATATAATGGAAAACATACCTGATGGACGATTGATATGCATAGTAATAATAATATGAATTAGAAGTAAAGGCAAAACATTGATCTAGTAGTTAAAAACGAAGAATTCATATCTAATTTGAGAATTTGGGGATGGTATTGTTTGAAATAGATAGAAATAGGTATCAAAATCTGTTGCGGAGCTGGGTGTGTGATACATACCTGCAATTCCAGCACTTTGGGAACCTGAGGCAGTTTGAGTCCAGCTGGCAGCTTAGTGTTTTGCTATGACTGTATCTCAAAATGAAAATTTTTTTTAGAAAGGATAGGGATAAAGTTCAGTAGAAAAGACCTAGGTTCAATTCCAATACTCCCCTGCCCCCCCAAAACACAAAATGTGCTGTGGAAATGTTTGTTCTAGGGACTGGCCAAATAGCTCAGCAGATTAAAGCACCTGCAAGCAGGTGCAGGACCCAGGGGTTCGATCCCAGGCCTGCTATGCTGGCTCTGCCCCCGAAGCACACTGAGGTAGCAATTGAGACTGGGTGTGGTGGTACGCAGCACCTGTAATACCAGCTCTTGGGAGGCTGTAAACAGGAGAATCACTACGAGTCCTGTCTAGTAATGAGACCCTGAACACTCTGTAAACATTTCTCTAAAATACAAAAAAAAAAAAAAAGAAGAAGAAATGTTTGTTCTATGCAATTTTATGGGGTTGTATATAGTATATAGAGTTATATAGAATTTGTATGAAATGATCTTGTTCAACATTGAAGTAGGCTTTTTATTGTTGCCTAGTTAGTAAAGAATATAATTGATTAGACACTTTAAATATTCTAATCAGTAGTGTGCACAAAACACTGGTAACATTGGCTGGAGTTTAGATATAGTTACAATTAATATCAAATAAGAAGAAAGAGTTTAGATTAATATTTTGTATTTAATAGTCTGTGCCTAATTAGTGAAGATCTTGTCTCCACATTGTGAAAAGGCCAGAATTACCCCTAGAAAATGTTGATCAGCTCAAGCTGTACAGCATAGGCTTAGAACCAGGGTCAGTATGTTAGTAGTTACCTTATTAAAATTCTAAACAAGAAAGTTTAGAAAATAACTACATGGATTTAAAATACTTTTGTTCAAACTAAGTATAATGTCAGGTCAATTTTTGTTTTAGAATTGCTTTAATGAAAAAATGTTTTTGCAAACATCAGCCAGTCTAGTCTGTGGAGGGCCGGGGATATAGCTCAGATGTAAGTGCCTGCCTGGCAAACGCCAAGGTCCTGAGTTCAATCCCTGGTACTAAAGAAATAAGTAAAACTAGCTGTCAATGAGTTTGTGCTAAGCAAGCTAGTCTGTAGCTCTGCATTTTGTTCCTTACTGTGTATCTGTGAATCCTCAATCAGTGGAACTCCCTAACCTACTTCGAAGGATTTTATAAACAGCAAAATGTGCATATAATCCAGGACAGTGATACTCATAGTTCAGTGGGCTTATGGATTCCTGCGGTGCTTTTTATATCTTAGGCTCCCAAACTCAAGAACCTTGATGGCTGATGCTATAGAGTCTAGAAACCTTGGGGGCTTTTCTTACTTGGGTGTCCCGGCCCGGGAACTTTGTCCCTGGCCTTCTGTGTCAGTGTCCCTAGCCCGAGGCCCTGGAGATGGGCAGACGTGGCCCGCACTGTGGCTGGCTTCCTTGTGCACTCACCTCCCCCGATGCTTGCTACTATGGTGTTGCAGGTGTCTTTCCTCCCTCCTCGCCACTTCACCTGGGTATTTATTTATAGTCTTGTGTAAAGTGAAGTATTTTGTTGTTGTTTAGGGATGAGCTTTGTCAGTTGAGGGAAGAAATGTATCACTTGTAGACATGGAAACCTTGGTTTCAGATCATTTTTTCTTAAGTTTTCATACTGTTGAAGATTCTAAATGACAATAAAATAGGTGACTCATAAAGTACTTTTCACTTGCCATTTACAGGCATTTAGATCATCACAGACTGTGGGACCCTAATGAATTTGCAGTTCACTGCTTTAAAATCATAATGTATTCTATTCAGGTAAGGTTTGTTTAACTGTTAGATAAGCAGTTTTGGTTCTGTATACATAGAGGCATCAAAGACATAAACTGTAGGTTATAAAGCTTGCTTGACCTGGCTGTTTTGTCTCATTTGTTTATATTACCAATAATTTTCTTATTTGTCAAGATGATAAATGTCTAATACAAAGAACTAAATAATAGTGGTGCTCTTTATTGGAGGCTTATTTAGTACATCTATTATGTATTTGCACTATTGAACTAGTATTGGAATTCGTATTTATTGTGGCAGCACACAGTGCCTAATAATAGCTGACATTCACTATGGAGTGATACTTCACTCTTCAGTCTTTAGAAAGCCTTCTAATGAAGCACTTACCTGTTGCAGAGGACAACCCTCCACCCCGCCACACCCCGTCAACATGAGCAGACCTGATAAGCTCTTTACTCATATATATGTATATATATTTAATATTTAATATAGGGTCTCACTGCACAGATTGGACTTGTGATCCTCCTGATTTTCAGCCTCCCAAGTGCTGGGAATACAAGTGTGTGCCACCACACCCAGTCTTAATCACTTCCTCAGTGGCCCCAGGGGCAGGGCTGGCACAGCAGGCTGGGGATTGAATCCCTGGCCCCTGCCTCTGCCTAAGCAGGTGCTTTAATCACTGACCTATCTGGCTGGCCCTCCTGATTAGCTCTTTAGTCAAGGGGCATTTATTTATTTCCTTCCTTCCCTTTCCCCTCTCTCTCTCTCTCTCTCTCTCTCTCTCTCTCTTTCTTTCTTTCTTTCTTTCTTTCTTTCTTTCTTTCATACAGGGTCTCACTACGTGGCTCAGACTCATAGCAATGTTCCTGTCTCAGCCTTGCCAGTGCTGTGATTGCAGGCGTGTGCCACCATGCCCAGTTTCAGCACTCAGCTTGGCACTGGGCCAGCACAGCATTTGTTATGGTGGGTGGCACCCAGGTCCTTCCGCTTGCCAGGCGGGTGCTTAGGCCACCAAGCTATCTCCGCAGCCCCATTTCAGTTCTTCTTAATATCATTTTGATTTTTAGTTCCTAAAAAAGTCATCACTACTTTAATGGAGATAAAGTCCACAGAGGCAGCACAGATATTAAGTCTTATCAGGATTTGCATTCTGAATGTACTATTTACTAGTTGCAGAAACTTGATTTATGCAACTTCTCTGAACTCCATTTTCCTCATCTCTAGAAGATTTTAATATGTGCAGTAAACGGTTTACAAGTTCACATAGATGCTACCATTTATCAAGAGCTGGTTGTGCCCCATGACTGTGTTAATAACCTTGTATGTTTTGTCTAATATCATTCTCCTTACCCTATGAATTAGGTGTTGTTATTCCCATTTTATATGTCAGAAAATTAGCCTTTAAAGAATAACTAATTCACTCAAGGACACATGGGTCAAAAATAAAGTCACCTTGCAAATTCTGATCATTTTATTCCAAAGTTTATGGTCTAAGTTAATCATTAAGATGTTGATATCAGATCTTGCATAAAGTAGATTTTTCAATAACTGATAGTTATTATAAAGCTAGCTTAGATAGCAAAAGATTTTTTTAATTTAATATTTAATAGGTAAGAATAGGTCTTACAATATATGGACAAAATCTAAGGGTTTTTTTTTGGTCTTGTCCACCCTTTTTCATCATCCATCTTCCTTTATTAAGATTTAGTTATTAGAAAAAAATTGTTCTTTGCCAGTGGGGTACAGTGACACCTGTGTCCCAGCTTCTCAGGAGGCTGAGGAGGAGGACTGGAAATTTGTGGCCAGCCTGGCAAGCTTTTTGAGTCTCTATCTCAGAATCATGAGGGCTGGGGTATAGCTCAGTGGTAGAGCACTTGTCTGTCATGTGCATGACCTTGGGTTCACCCATGAAACTTGAAAAAGTTATTCTTTTACAAAATATAACTTAATAAATAGTAAATTATAGTTGGAAAAACCTTAAAATCATTAATTTTTATTTAATGTTCACAGAGGCACTTCTGGTTTACAACTTTGCTTTAGAAAGAAATTTACAACATTTGTTGTATGAAGTCCATTGATGACTAATTAAATGATAATGTGCACCAGAAGATTACCCTGGTGCAGTTAAGACTTGGATAGATTGGATTGTTCCCATTGTCCTTTACAGACAGATGCCAAGTACCTGAGTGATAACATTAGTGTAGGTTACCTTCACTAGATACTATTTCAGTCTTTCTTAAAACAAGCCAAGCATGGACATGATTTGTATACTTAAGGGATTGTATAGACTAGTTCCAAGTACAGAAGGGCATTTCTGGTGAAGGGAAAATGTCTTTCATAGAGATTTTTGTTTTGTTTATGCTAAACTGATTTGTTGAAGGTAAGAAGGTATGTTAAGAGCAGGGTTCTGAGAGCAGGTCAGGACTCACTTCATGGCCCTTCTGCGTAACCTTGAGAAAGTTACTAAATTCCACCCTCTTATACTGTGAACTGCACAGCATCGTTGAGTTGAAACTTTCTTCCGCTGTTTATGTACATATGAATAATCCATAAAAAAGTGCCCAGAAGAATGCCTGGCACCTGTTTACTTATGAATGAGAAGTCTTGTCATCATTGTTATGTTCTGCATTACAGTAAGATATCAGTCAAAGGGTTACCAGTTGAAGAGTAGCAGTATCTAATATTTATGGGGCACTTTTCATATAATAGAATTTTGGTGCTTTGTACGGATGAATCACCACAAAAATTGTATGATAAAACTGTTGTTACTGTCTGAAAAAGTAATGTAGGTGAGGAAGTCTTAGGTGCTGAGATAGCAAGTAACCGTCTCTTAAGCTGTGAAGCACTGAGCTGTTAAACCGTGGAGCCGGAACTAGAACCTGAGCAAATCTAACTCCAGGCTGTGTAATACTGCGCTGCTATACCAAGTTGCTTCTTAAAGCTATTCATCTTACTAATATTGCCTTGAAGTGTGGGGTACAGTGACTTTACCGTAGACAAAGGACTCTCAATAAATCTAACTTACACAAAGAATACAAAGTATAGTATCTCTCAAGTTTCACTCTATTCATTTATTTTCTTTCTTTCTGTATTTAGGACAGGGTCTGTAGGGTCTGCAGGTCTCACTACATAGATCCAGACTTGTAGTGATTCTCCTGTTTTCAGCCTCCCAAGAGCTGGGATTACAGGCGCTTGCTACCATGCCCAGTCTCAATGTCTGCCTCAGGGCACCCTACTGGCATGCCGAGGATCAAACCCCAGCCGCTGCACTCTGCCTAAGCAGGCACTTTCGTCTACTGAGCTATCAGACCGCTATTTTTGGTTTTGTAGACATGATAATGATTAATTGCTTACAAGCAAAGTGATCATGTGCCCAGGATTTTGTAGGCTAGCCCTATTTTATTCATGTAGCTTTCAAGATGGACCCCACTCACTCTCTGAATGCTCTTATTGAACAATGAATCAAGCAGTTCATTTTCTTGTAAGGCAGACACTAATTGTGTAAGACTCACATGTGAGAAGCATGCAGCTTTCTGGGCAAAACATGCACTTTCAGGTTAGTGTGTCTACAATTCCTGTATTTTAATGTAACTTTAAGTAAAGCAAAGTAGAGATGAAAACAGACAATGTTTATTTCGGGTTATTATGAAAGTACATATGTTATGACAGAAATGCAGAAACACCTGCACACAAAATCTATTATATATCAATACAAATAGAAGGAAATGTTTTGCCTTTGAGCAGAGTAGCTATTATTGGGCACAGCTTCTTAATATAAAATGACCTATTGCAAAGGAAAGAAAGGTTAACTAGCTTGAAGACAGGTGTATGTATAGGTTTCTTTCTTTTTTCTTTTCTTTGTTTTTTTAAAGGTCTTGTTACTGTATTTAAAAATAAAGTTGTTCATCAAACATTGTTCCGGAATTTTTTTTTTTTTAAATTTTTGGTTCTAATATCATTCACCACAATTGATCACATTCATCTGTATGTGATAAAATGGTCTCTGTAAATTGTGAATCAACTGATGTAAATTTTGTCCATTATGTGCTGATAAGATTTTCCTCTGGATAGTGGCTGTTGATTAAATGAGGTCTGCCCAGGTAGTACTGTTATGTGTCTATAATAAATAGCATGTATCTTGTTTGGGCAAAGGGGAAGTGCTGTAAATGTCATATTCTTTTTTAAATGATGTTTTGATTTACTGTCAAGTTATAAGGGTGTATTAAATGTTCTTTGTGAAATTACAGAGAAATACCTGAGAATTTTTAAGTCTCGCTCTTTCTCCAAAGTGACCAGTGGTAATCCCAGCACTCAGGAGGCTGAGGCAGGAGGGTCGCTAAAAGTTTGAGACCAGTCTGTGCTACATAGCAAGACCCTGTCACGTACTTTTTGAAAACCTGTTGAGGGCCTAGGAGGGTAGCTAAGTGACATGCATAGCATAGCAAGACCCTGCAGTTTCCTAGCACAAAACAAAAAGAGAAAAACGCTAACAGTGAATTTCACAGATGATGGACCTTATAACTTGCATTTTCACTGAGTCTCATGTGTTTCTAGTGTCCTGTTTGTTCTTCAAAACAGTAGTTTTTAAATGGCTGTGTATCACCTCATAGGTACCAGTTTTGGATGCTAGGACATTGAAGTGTCACATGATGTCCATTCTTAGGAATTATTCTGGGTTGTATGTCCTTGCTCATCAGCTCTGTACTACCCCATTTCCTTTAGGCCCAGTATTCTCACCACGTGATCCAGGAGATTCTAGGACACCTTGATGCTTGTAAGAAAGATTCTCCACGGGTCCGAGCAGGTATCATTCAGGTTCTGTTAGAGGCGGTCGCCATTGCTGCTAAAGGCTCCATAGGTGAGTGCTGCGGAGACAGTACAACAGTGTGTTACTCTGCTTCACATGTATTTTGCATTAATATAGCAATGTATGAAGTAATCTTTAAAACCATCTATGCGTTTTCAAATGTACTGTAATTTGTCTTGAAATTCTGGGCTCATGTGATTATTCTTGTATATTCAGTGCAAATAAAACATTTCTAAATCAGTCCTCCCTTTTTTCTTCTAATGATAATATATTTTGAACATTGGGAGACTACACTTGAAATAATGATCTGGGTTGAACATATTAACCCCCAAATCTGAAATTTGATGTGCTCCATCATCTGCAACACTGTACGTACCTACATGATGCGGTGAGTGGGAGAGCCCACGATCAAAACGTAGGGCCACTATAAATATATAAACATATGTGCATACCAGCTAAAATATCTAACTGTATTACATAAAAATTGTATTAAAACAGAAAGGAACTTTGTGTTTAGACTTGTGTGATGTCCCTTAGAGATCTCCTGTTACACACACGCACGCACTGCTATTGTGAAATGCGCAGTAACTTCTGGGCCCAAGCATTTTTCATAACAGATACTTGGGGCCACCTCTTACTGAGAAGTTTTTGCACGTCAAAAGATACCAACTTGTAGTTTACTTGCAGTTAGACAACTTCACTTGTCAGCAAAGCAGGCTTCAGGCATGTATGAGAAAAAGTGATCAGAAAAGAGAAGGAGGTGGATGAGCATGAGCAAGTGTCCCACGCTCCAGTTTTCTAGAATGTGTGGTGCTAATGATAATGGAAGTAGTCGGAGAAATGGCTTTAAAGATGAGCGGCAGCCAGAGTATAGAAGTTCTGTCATTGACATGGGATGTAAGGTAAGCCATCTGGCTGCAAAATGCAGGACTCACTGGAAATAAACTACTGTCGCTGCTGGCAGAAAGGGAAGAACTTGCCCGTGGATGCCAGCATGGGAATGAGAGCGTGAAGTCAAGGGGCCTCGATAGTGACCGTCGTAGAGATATGTAGGATAAGGGACAGACCCGATGTCATATTTCATCTCCATGTGATTAGAAAGGCAGAAGGGGATGTACTAGAAATAGAGAAACTGGGCCAGTCTGTTGTGGTTTCTTTGTTCAAAATCAAAGTAAAAAGTAGTTAGCTAATGAAATATTTCAAACTTACACTATTGTTTTAATCTTAGGTTTACAGATCTTATAAATCCAATAATACATTATTATTTTTCTTGACACAGTTATCTTTGGTAAAAATTGAAAATAAAAAAAAAAAATGTCACACGTTGACCTATGTACTTAGCGGAATTGGCAGTTTTCATTCCTTGCATCGATTCAGGTGACATCTGGGTTCTTCCTGTCAGAAGAACTTCATAAAGAACAATGTTTGTTGAAGTGAAAGTCTGTGGCGGAGAATTCCTGCAGCTTTTGCTCATCTGAGAGCTTTCACTTTCACAATGAAGAGAGAATTTTAGGCTTGACAGTTTTTCTTTTTCTTCATAGCACAGATGAGATACTGGTTGACTGTTATAAACTTTGCATAATTTCTGACAAGAAGTTTATAGAAATTCTTACCTGACTTCCCCTGTAGTGAACTGTGCCTCAGCCTCTGGTGACTTCTAAGCCTTTTCTCCCTGTTGCAGGCATCCAGTGGCTTTGCGATGGTGTACTTTGGTGTGGCCTTCACTGCTTATTCTGGTTGGGACTTGTTCAGCTTCCTGGATCTGCTTTTCACCAATTTGTGCAAATCCTTAACCACTATTTACTTAAGTAGTCTTCCTTTCTTCCTTCTTCCTCTTGTGTTTTGGATTCATATCGTGGTTCTTCTCCACTGGACTGTCTGACTAAACTCCAGTTAGTGGAGTCTTATTTTCAGATGTTAGATTTGATTGCTTGTCTCTCCTCATTTTGTTTCCTTTAAATGTTTAGCATGTCAAACACACATCTGTGGTTTTGATAACTAATCTCTTTTATTTTGGGTTCTTATTGTATTGACCGACCTTCCCCTTGATTGTGTCATGATATTTTATTTCTTTGAAGTTTAGCAAACTTTTATTGGGTGTAGGACATTGAAATGTTCTTTCATTGTTCAATGCAGGGTATTAATTTTAAGTGTGTTGGAGTTTGTTCTGATGGGCAGTTAAATGACTTGTGGATTAGTTTCTTGGAAACTGGTTGTCAAGCTCTTCTAGAGTAGATGTAGAGTGCCTTTTGCTCTACGGCTAATTATCCCCATGTCTGGGGGTGTAGTTAGTGACATTCCTCTCTGGTAGGACTTGCATGATTCCACTTCTGTGTATACTTTTTAGCTTAAAGGTGCTGGTATAGGACACATTGCTGCTCAGTCTAGAAGGTGTACCTCCCTGTAAGGTGCTAAAGGCCTCTGTCAGGGAAGGATTCAGCTAGAACAAGGCTGCCCTAAGGGAAGACAGCTGGCTGGCAGCAAGGCCTGTAGAATCCTTGCTTTGTAGTAAACACAGCCCCAGTTGCAAATGAAGTGGACAAACTTTCATCCTCTTCAGTGACCTGGCCTCAACAGGAGAAATACTCTAAAATTCTCTCAATGACAAATAAGAGTGGACAGTAGATAGTGACCTTTCATTATTCATTTTAAATTGATCTTAAAAATATGCAAGCAAGTTATTGAGTTGACTAGTTATTTAATTTGAAGTATGAGATAAGACACTGACACTATATTGGATCATCCCACCTATTGATGATGCAGGGTACTGTGTACAGAGTACTATCTGTGAGGTTCTGTGAAGGTGTTCCATCATAGCTACCTGTGCAGGGAAGCTTGTGACTGAGATTGTGAAACAGAAATGAGGGCCCTAATCAAGATAGATAAATGTGATAATACATGTGATAATGTGGTAATAATGTTTTGTATGAGCTGTTCATAGAACAAAAACAGGAAACAAGTCACTTTATTTGAGTTTGATAAATTCATTAATTTTCTGTATCATAATTGGAAGAAATTATTCTTCATTTAGTCTAAAAAGATGCAAAGTAAATCTTATATGCTACAGAGAGCTGTATTACAATTTTATTGATTATGACCTATCAGTCTTCACTAAATATTATCACAGTATATACTATTTAGAGTGGACAAAATTAGATGTTTTGGATAATCCTTACTGGCAAATAAACATCTTGGATGGGTTCTACCAGAGACTGAAAGAGCAAGTTGCTTATAGATTGCTCCTGGCATAACTAGATTTTCTTGTTTGTTCACATTTTTTTTAAAAGTCCACGAATTATCATGTATTTTTGGCTCTTTTGAAAATGGCCAAAAACTATGTTGAAATCTGCAAATTACATCTGAGTGTACACATTCCTTGGCATGTCTGCTCACGTAGATCGTCCCTCACAGGGCCCACTGTGCTGGAAGTCTTCAATACCCTCCTGAAACATCTGCGTCTCAGTGTTGAATTTGAAGCAAATGACTTGCATGGGGGATCTGCAAGCAGTGTCAGTGTAAACACAGGTCCCAAAGACAATGATGAGAAGATTGTGCAGAATGCTATCATCCAAACGATAGGTAAGTACATTTCACTTTTCAAAATGGTCATATACAACAATGAGTTTATGAAGTTCTCCCATAATGTGCTTGATATATATTACGTTTATCAAAGATAAGTGACTTCTGAGACTTTTAAAAATTGGATAATTGAAAAAAACAAGGTAGGAATGAGACAAAAATGCTCTATATCCTTTACCCAGATGGATCTGTTTTTGAACATTTTATGCCATTAACTTTTTCATTTGCTCTCACCCACTTCCTCCTGTGTGTATATAAAATAGAAACTTTTTTCTGGGCTACTGGATGTAATAAGTTACATACATTAAGGCCCATTATCACTGGATTCTTTGGTGTATTTTTCCACAGAATGCATATTTTTTTTTACATAGGCCGAGTAGAGTTACCAAAGGAGTAAAACGTGACACGTACTGTACTTTAATGAGCCTTCCACATCTCAGTTTTGTCAAGTCGACTCAGTAGTACCCTTAATAGCAATTTTTCCCTGGGATCTGGGATCCTCGGGAGGATCATTTATTACGCGGATCTTTAGTTTCATTACTCTGGAGCATTTCCTAGATGACGTGGACATTTCTTAAGAGCAAAGCCTACTACTTTTTAAATAGTATTTTATTAAGGAGATGTTCCCATTTCATTTTTTGGTGTTTCCTCCTGATTACATGTAGCTTAGGTGTTTCTGGCTGGAACAGCACATAAGAGGCATGCTCTTCTTAGAATAGCACGTCCAGCAGGAAGCAACGAGCGTTTGCTCCTCATTGCTGGTGTTACTATACACCACCAAGGTATTGTTCTTTTACGTCCACAATCCAGCCTCTGTTTTTTTTCCCATTGCAAATAATAAGTGGTCTGAGAAGACACTTACACCATGCAGATATTGAGGCCTTCAGCCAAACTTCCCTGTAAATCTTGCATCTAATCATAAATCTTGCTTCAACCATTCTTTACTATGATGTCTATAAGAGGATGGGGTTGAAACTACTCTCTTCATCTACCAGCTAACTCTCTGGGGTCTATTATAAACAGGAGTCTCCTTTTCTAACTTTGTATTATGTGGAAATATATGTATTTATCTCATTATTATAGGCCTCTGAGTATATTTTATGGTTATAATTTATTACTGTACATATTTATTTCGGCCCATAAGAGCCCTTTTAAGTGCCTTCTTTGTTTATATACCATCCCCCCTCCCCCCTTTTTTGAACTACTGTGTTACTTGTGTAAACTGTTTAGGCAAGTTTTCCATTTCCTGTCCCTACGTGGAAACACAGGTGCTGTGTTTCCTGTGAGTGGCAGTGATATTGAAGACCAAAAGCCAGATGCACATTTTTGGTCTGTGCTGTCGTTTTTTCTCCCTCACTCGCACTACCTCCTACCCCGGTGGTCCAAGTACGTAGTGCGAGTTGAAGAGCTTCCTGGAGTGCACACCTGTGATCTCCACATTTGCGGGGACTGAGGCAAGAGGATCCCAAGTCTGAACCAGGCCTGGGCAATTTAGTGACTTGACAGAACCCTCTCTCAAAAAGAAAGGAGAAGGGATGGAATAAAGCTCAGTGTGAAGGCCTTGGGTTCAGTCTCTAGTACAAATAGAATAAGAATAAAAGAAAGAAAATTTTAAGAGCTATTTATATCTGATGTACAAATACAATTTATTTTTTATTTTATTTATTTTTTTGTGAGATTGGGGATTGAATTCAGGACCCTGTGCTTGCCGGGCAAGCACTTATTCTACTGAGCTATCTCCGCTGGCCCTTACAAATACAATTTAAAGGCCAGAGTCTTGGGAGGGTGAGGGAGGAGAATGGTAGTGAGTGAGTGTAGCCATCATGGGCTACATAGTGTGCTCAAGGCCTTCCAGAACTACAAAGTGAGACCCTGTCTCAAAAAACCAAAAACAAATGAATACGTACATATGTAAATAGATACAGTTTAAAGCATACAAGCTAGTTCTCTATTCTCATCTTCCTCTTGCGGTTTTCTTTAAAATGTAGCTCTGTGACTGCTGTAATAATTTCAATGTCAGAGTATATTCTTAGAGTTTAATAGTTTCTAATCTAATAGTTTCCAGAATAATAAATTTATTCTGGACCACAGATTATCCCTTTTATCTGGGTAATTTTCCACTTGTGGGCTACATTTTATAATAGTTCAGTGGTATACTTAATGACAATTTGCCAATTTTTCTTGTCCTCTTATCTCTAAAGCTTTATGGATGTCTATCTGTTCATCTGTCTGTCTGTCTGTCTGTCTGTCTGTCTATCTATCTATCTATCTATCTATCTATCTATCTATCTGTCTATCTATCTGTTACATCACATTCAAAACCTTTTTGTTGAACGTACACATATACCAGCTCACCAGGTCCTTTGCTGAGAACTTTGTGATTGGCTGTTGCCTGTGGAAGCACTTAATCCTCTTGTGTGATACCTGTGTTGCGCCTTGCCATGATTTCTGCTGCACACAGCCATTGTCCGGAGGAGAGAGGCTCAGGGGTGTCCTATTGCAAATATTTGTAGCTGAGACATTTTAGTTACTGAAGATAGTTCGCGTCAGTGTACAGTAAAACTAGGTTCTATGGTGATTTTTACCTTTATTATTTATGGAATTTTTGTGGTATTCTAAAGTCAGATCAAATCAGCAAATTTTATTTTTACTGAATTAGTTTAAATTTAGTGATTTCTAATTACTTGAGTATTACTGTTTCTAGAATACTATATTTAGTGTATTGTTTCTTAAATATTTCACCACATAGTATCTGTAGCATGCTCAACCAATGTTTCTGTGATGTAACATTGAGAATAGCATGATAATGTGAAAATTAAAAGATGAAGCAAAAGTATGGTATAGTGAGTGAGTACCTTTTAAAAAGTTGTACCTCTGAAATCCTTCATTGTTTTAGAATTTCCCAGTGTCTGGTAGCTGTTGAATCATACAGATATGCGTATGGTGACCTATGCGCAGGACCGTTGCGGCTTCTCCCTTCAAGTTATAGGGCTATTGGCTAGGTTCTCCTCAGTTTTAAAGTAATCAAGAGTATATCTCCTGACTGTTTTCTTTTCTGTGTTCATGAACATTTTTACTCAGTACCCTGAATGTCTTTTTTTTTTTTTTTCCCCTAAATGTCTTAAGAGTTGGTATATAGAGATGAAATGTTTTCAAGACTTCCCAAGGTAGATCAAGTCCCGCCCAACTTTAATTTAAAAAAATAAATTTTAAAGCATGATGTAGTTGCTACTGTAATCGTGTTAGTCATTTAAATGTACACACACACACACACACACACATATATTTAACAGGATGCTGTACCCTGTTCACCATGTACTTGGGAGAGAAAAAAAAAAAATGATTTTTTTTCTTCAGAGCACCAGTTCTTAACCTTTGCTATCCATTGAAATTACCTCAGCATCTTAAAAATATACTCAGGCCTGCATACCCTTCCCAACTATTCTGATTTACCTACTTGTGCCCAAAGAGTAGATGAAATCATTCTACACTTTTATGCAGTGTGCCATCAATTAATAATAAGCATCATTGAATACAGGGAGGTACAGTGGAGCTTGTTAAGGCTTTAGACAATGCTATAGTTGGTCACTTTTGTGTTGGGGACAGTAGTAAGTGCAAGTGTGTGCTACTTTGTATCTTAGTGGCAGTGACTAACTTGAACAGCTCCTTATCTCAAATATGTACTCCTTGATATTACTTAGAATAATAACCTTTTAACAGATAAAGTTAAGATTATTAGAGTTTTGAATGCTCTACGTGCTTTTGGAAGTCTTACTTCTAGGCCCCATCACAGTGATGAATAGAGTATTTGATTTTGAGTAAATAAATTAGTAGGTGCAACAATGGAAGCTGAGGAGTTAAATTGAAAAGTGCACGTATCCATAAATATTAAATACAGAAATTGTCTCTTAACAGTTTTTTTGAATTTTTTAAAAGGAACAAAAAATAGCCATGATTTAATCTCTAGCTTTCAGAGAATTGAGATAGTGCGAAGTGTGAGTAATGATAAATTTGGAAGTAAACTATCAAAAGCTGCATTAGATAAGTTTAAAATATTCTCAAACCCAGTGAGAAAATTTGCAAGTAAATAAGTTAAATGTTTTATTTATTTATTTTTAACTTCTGGTGAATTATGTATGTTGAATGAATTCACAGGTCTGATATGTAAACCAGGCTCATTATAATGACCTCTTAAAGCTTGGGTAATACTGAGAACCCAGAGTAGTGACCCAAGTTTTGATTCTACATGAGGCAAAATTAGCCTATTTACTGACTTCTTACCAGAACAATAATTTTCTATTCAAAATATGTGAACAAGACTTCCACAGAATTACTTGAAGTTTTTTTCCCCTATTTCTAAAACTCTGATCAACTCAAGCTTATGATTTATTTACTACTTTACATGTAAAAGACCTTCAGATATTATTTTATCTAATCATTAAGCTATAGACACACGCGATATATAAATAAAAAAAATGTAGATATATATCTCCATATACTGAAAGTTATATTGTTTAGAAAAATTAACTTTGGTAAAATTTATCTTAATATTTCATAGGATTTTTTGGAAGCAACCTACCAGATTATCAGAGGTCCGAAATCATGATGTTCATCATGGGGAAAGTACCCGTTTTCGGAACGTCTACTCATACTTTGGATGTCAGTCAGCTGGGGTATGTTCTTAAACTGTCAATTTGAACTTAATCTTGAATCTGTGTCATCTTAAAACTAGGAAATGATTGTTTTTTTAAAAAACCTTAGCAGTGAAAGTAATGTTACTGTCATTATACTAGACTGTGTTCTTTATTGGCCTAGTAAATATTTATTTGTCTTGGGCATTGTGTTTGTGCTGCCTTATACAGGATTGATCTGCATCCCATAAACATTATTTAAATTAACATCAGCATCTTAGAAATGTTGACTTACTCCTAGAATTCTAGAACTGAAACTGATTTTAAGAATCAACTCTTGCTGTTCCTATTTTTTAAAAAATGTATTTGATAATATGCTCAAGCTTTAGTTTGTGAACATTTTTGTTTTGCTGCTTTAGTAAGAAAATAATCACATTGTACTTCATAAATATGTATCCTTGTTAGGTATTAACAGAACATTTAGGAAATCATTTAAAGAGGCAACCATACTAATTACTTTAGCTTGATTATTACAAAAGTTATTACAAAAACTAGTGCGGCAGCCTTCTGCCCTACTGGTTCAGAGATGGGTTCAGAGATGCCTGCTTCTGTTTATAAGGCAGGGGACTTCTGCTTTGACGCCAGAACCTCTTGTGGCAAGTGTTCAGTCCCAGTGACTGGCCATATGCATACATGATACACATGTATCAGGTCATCACACTGTACTCCATACATAATATAAAATCATAATAACTTTATTTTATTTTTTTGGCAGAACCAGGGATTGAACTCAGACCCTTGCACTTCCCGGGGAAGTGCTTATTCTACAGAGCCATCTCCCTGGCCCCTAATATAATAACTAAAAAACAGCATGAATTGGAGAACATACTTAATATAAATATAGCAGATGAATAAAATAGCTCTCTAATATATATCTATAAATGCATAAGGGCAAATGATTAAAAGAAAATTAACAAATGGAAAGGTATTAACAGTAAAAGAAATATAAATTATAATTTTCTTTTGAAAATGATTTTATTTTACTATTGTAAATGATTTTAATTATACATATGCCTAGTAGACTGTGTTTAATGATACACAATGTGTAATGATCAAATCGGGATAGTTAGCATTTGGCTCCTTAAACTGTAAAAAAAAAAGATTTTGGTTAACATATAACTGTATGTATTTAGTGATAGAAAGTGCAGTATTTTGTTTTTTGTTTTTTTTTTTTTTCCGTACTGGGAGTTGAACTCATGACCTTGCTCGTGCTTGCCAGGCAGGTGCTGAAGTGTAATATTTTAGTAATTCTGCTTCCATAAATGTGCACTGAAGGGCCAGCCAAATAGCTCAGTGGATTAAAGCACCTGAAGGCAGGCACAAGGGCCAGGGGTTTGAATCCCGGGCCTGCCATGCCAGACCCGTTCCCGGGGCGTGCCGAGATGGCAGTTGAGGCTGGGCATGGTGGCACGTGCCTATAATCCCAGCTCTTGGGAGGCTGTAAACAAGCGGATCACTACGAGTCCGATCTAGTAGTGAGACCCTGAACACCCTGTACATCCTTCCCTAAAATAGAAAAAAAAGTGTACTGATATAGTTTAACTTTCATACCATCACATACATAAATTTATTTCCTTGGATGAACAGTAACTTGAATTTTTTGAGTTACATTTCTTATTTAACATAACTTTTAATTTGTATGAAATCTACTTTAATATATAAAGTATGGCTTCAGCTGTTATAAAAATAAAATTTATGTAGCCCTTAAGGATGAAGAGCTAAAACCAGTAAAATGTACTATAAGTAAATGAAGCAATACAAATGTGAATTGCTATTAATAATAGCTGCATGTTATATATTTTAGGGATTTGGGAACCAGGCGGATTCAGATAATGTTGCTGAGATCTTTGCTTATGGTAAGGCATTTAATATAGGTGAAGGACACTTAATGTTAAATTATTAAAACTTTGAATTATTAAAAAGATGAAAGGAATAGCTTCACATTGTGAGCTTTCTTACTTAATAATGCATTATTATGTAGTTGTCTCTGGTTCGTGTGCTTCTTTCCCTGCTGTGCATTTCTCACTTCAGTAGTTGTACCTGGTCTTCGGTATGAAACACACAGAGGGCAAAAACTCTTGGCATTTTGCAGATGGACATGTCTGGGCTCCGAGCCTCGAGTGGAGCAGCTGAGGAGCTCCGCCAGGGTCACTGAAACGAGGACAGAACTTGGACTTGTAAACCCAAATTTCTTTTTTGTGTTTTATGCTGTGTCTTTTATGTCCTATCCCAGTAATGACTACTTGCTTGGAAGATGATTAATAAATGAAACTTCATCATTTTAAATTTATGGGAGCGATACATAGCCTCCAAAATAAGAGGTCCTCTGGTGGTTTTTAATTATTTGTGTTCATTTTTGATTCAGCTGCACTTAGCATAATGCCAAGGACAAATATGAGCCCTTTACAAATCAGTAACTTAATGTAGAAACATTTAATATTTATAATCCCATTTTTCAGAGAAAATATTTCACACTGAAGTGTAAGTACAGAAGTATATTCATTTTTTTGTGGTGTTTGTCATGTAGAAGTTTTGAACAGTTTTATTAGTTCTTCCCTGTATGTTTTGTTTCTTTTTGTGCTTTACTTTAGAATTTCTTGCCTGCTTTGATATATTCACATTTGCTTGTTTTCTTAAAAAAATGTTTGAAATTTGGCTTTCGATATTTAGATGTGTGGGGCGAGGTATGGATATAGTTTTAGTTTTCCTCAGCAGGTAGATAGCTGTCCTGCTGATTTTCCTGCTAATAGTTAACTCCATTCTATAAGTGCTAAAATGAAAAACTGTTAAAGATCAATACATGCTTATAATCATGAAAATAGTTCTAAATTACCCCCAAAATTTCATTTGACTGAGTATTCATTTACATTAAACAAAGTCTTATGTTATCCTTTTCATCCTAACTGTACTATAGTCAGCAATTTGAGTATCTGTATGGTATGGTTTTAAAATGTTTATTAGCATTTAAGTATATTCTCTTTTAAAAATTTTAATTTTAGGAGATAGTGATGCCTCTCAAGTGGCCAATCAAATTATTAATAAAGTGGCTTTCCAAAATGAAAACGTACTGCTTTTAACCAACTGCTTAGTTTAAATAAAATAATAATTAGTAAATTTAAATTAAAAAATTTCAGGTCTTTGGGCAAGGGAGATAGCTCAGCAGTCCAAGCACTTGCCTGGTAAGCACAAGGACCCAGGTTCAATCCCAGTACCCTATGTCTTTCTGGCCCCTCACTAAGCCAGTCACCAAAACCGGGCATGATGGCACATGCCTGTAATCCCAACGCTGGGAAGGCTGAGGCAGGATGGTCGCTATGAATCCAAGCTGTGTAGTGAGACCTTATACCAAATAGATAGATAGATAGATAGATAATAAATAAATTAATAAATTTTAGGTCCTTTACCGTTTGCCCCTAATTTTTTTGCAGCAGTAGTTTTATTTTATTAAAATATATTGCAATATTAGAATATTAAAATACATTGGAAGTATATTATTTGGAGTCTTTCAGATATTACATGGCAACCGAAAATGTGGGAAAGATAGTATTATAAAGTATTTCAGCAGGTTAAGGAGCAAAAATTGTTCTAAACTTTATGCAGATTTGGTGATAATTTATTAATAAGAGTAGTGATAAATGTTTCTCCGTAGGTATGGGTAGGAGGGATATGTTCACATATGTTTTTGTTAGTTTTAGAATCAGTGATAAGCTCCACTTTCCACCCAGACACATGCCAGCCATGAGCCCTAAGGAAACTGACCCAGGCACAGACCTAGTAAAGGAGACGTGGAGGACCCCAGCCAGGCTTGCCAGGGGAACAGCACATCCCTGGGCGCTGATGTGCTCTTGGTGGCTAGCTGCCCAGCGGAGGGCGAGACTGAGAAGAGACATCTGCCAGCCAGCACGCTGTTTGAGATTCTCAGCCTTCTGCTGCACTATAGTTCAGAGATGGCTGCTTCTATTTATAAGGCATGGAGACTTCCGTTTTCATGCCAGACCCCCCCCCCCCATAAGCATTCAGTCCAAGTGACTGACCAGTGTGCTGGCTTTGAATCCCTCAGTGAGACGTGTTTGGGTCCACATTGTTCCCTGATACCCGAACTAGGTACACACTGCACTGGTGTGCCACCTGATCTTCTTATGTCTCTTTCATGCTGACTACTTACTGTATATATTCCTGAGCCGAGTGAGCCTCATCTTCCTTTTATAAAATACAAATATGTTGATAGCTGCTTCACAAAGATACATTGAGGACATAGTTAACTTACACATAGTTCTCACAATTGTGCCTAGCACATACTGAATGTGTTATGAATTTCATTATTATGAATGCTGTATAAATGGAGTAAAATCCTTCATTTGGCAAATGTTCCTCATGTCATTCAGGATCGTGTGCATATTTTCTGTATGGTCTTGATTTGGCAATTTCACTGAAAAAGGATTCATGACAAGCATTGTTTATTTTCATCCTGTAATCAGGTCACATCTGGATACAAAGCAAAGACGATTGTTACTGCACTGCCAGGATCTTTTCTGGATCCTTTGTTATCACCATCTCTCATGGAAGATTATGAGCTGAGGCAGCTGGTCTTAGAAGTAATGCATAATCTCATGGATCGCCATGACAACAGGGCAAAGCTCCGAGGGATCAGGTAGTGTTTCGTGTTGAAGTGTACTTAATGATAATACTTTAGTTTTCTGAATTAGTGTGTTTAGTGTTGTGGGACTTTTATGTAGGATTTTCAGTTTGTAAGTGATGGAGCCACTTTATTTGTATATTTTCTTTTTTCTTGTTTTGTGAGACAAGAGACTCACTATGTGGTCCAGGATGGCCTCAAACTCCCTGAGGAGTTCAGCTGGCCTTGAACCCTCAGCAGTGCTACGTCTGCTTCCTCAGTGCTGGGATTACAGCTGTGTGCCACCGTGCCTGGCTAAATTAGTTAATATATTCTAACATAAACAATGTGTCGATGTCACTTAATATACTCTTTAGAGATCTGCTAGTACCAGCAGTTACATGGATTTTACTTTAGTTTTGCTTTAAACTTAGAATGGCATTAGGAATTAAAATTGTGCACTTCTTAGTTAAACTTGGTAGATCATTACTATCATTATGTAGACATGTAATATACTCATTAACTGTTAAGTAGTTCAGACTTGGGAGTTTAAGTATAGGTTTCTGTGTAAGATTAATATTGTAACCAACTATGATATTCATTAAAATATGTATATATATATATATTGTCTCTAGAATAATACCAGATGTAGCAGACTTAAAGATAAAAAGAGAAAAAATTTGTAGGCAAGACACAAGTTTCATGAAAAAGGTAAGAACGTTTTGTGAAAATCAAACGTATCATGTAAACTGATCATTTGAGTTGTTAAATGGCTTCATTCTGTGTGGCTGTGTGACTTTCAAATGAAGCCACAGAGCTGAGAGATGGAGGAGGTCACGCCATCAGCTTGCGTTTCCCAGACGTTGCCTCACATTCCTGGCCCGGTCCCCGCCAGCCTGTGTTTAAACATTGCATTCTTGGGCTTGGGAGTAGTTCTGCATTTTCATCTTCCTGTAATTCCTTCATTGCCCTTCTTTACACACAAAGCACATGCACAGATCTCACTTTCCGCAGATTTGAAGCTCTCTTTTATAGAGAACTTCACATTTTTGAGAACAGTTACCACTGAATAAATAACTTTAATAACTGCTTAGTTGGCATAACTGTAATACAGTACTTGGGTATAAAGATGTATAATACATGTTATCTAGCTAGATTTTCATGATGATAACAATAAATTGTGTAGGTCTTTGGCAGACGGCTGCATTTCCAGAATGGCAGTGTCCAAGGTTATTTAGCATATCAGGGCGCTTCCTGTGTTGTGAGTAATCGTTCAGAGGGCGAGGACGGTGTGGAGAGCTGCAGAAGCTGGGATGCAAGGGCTACCTGACCTTGCTCAGGGTCCTGGATGATGAAGCTGTGCAACAGAGCTGAGCAGGGACACGCAGGAGACGGGCAGCCTGAGCCGGGTCCTCAGCTGCCCCTTTGCCAGCCTGCTCTTTTCTTCTCTCACCATCACTAAGGTTGCTTGTCACTGATGGTAGTCCAAGTAACACTTCCACAGTTTAAAAGCTTCATTTGAGGTGGCCGGGGAGATGGCTCAGTAGGACAAATGCTTGACTGGCAAACGCAGGGATCTGAGTTCAAGCCCCGGTTCTGCCAAAGATAAATAAATAAATGCTCTAATGTAAAAAATAAAAAAAATAAAAACTTCATTTGAAAAATAATTTGCAAGATATCCTTGTTTGTAAATCTGATTCTTTGAATACAATTTTTGTTTGAATGTACTGTATATTTAAAAACTAGAAATAAGGCAAAGACATGAACACTTCTGAAGTCTCTTTATATTACCTAGTTCATGAAAGAATTTGTTCAACATAAACTGTTAATGACGACTGACATAATGAATTTTCAAAACTCAACTGACAGCTAATTTTGGAAATTTTTTCACTCTACAAGATGACCTTAAACAATCCTGAGAAGGGATTTCATTTTACCTGCTGTGAGAATGGTAGAAATGCTACTTCTCTGTGCGTAATTTTCAGAAATGCTATTTCTTTGTGTATAATTTTCTGGAAGGCTATGGCTTAGCTACAAGGTTAGAATAATATTCTTAGGTTGAGTTTTGAATTCTTAGACTATTCTCTAATTTAATACTCTATTTTATAATTTAAAATAGCTCCAGGCTAAGCATTTGTTATAATTAGTATTGTTCTTAATAGGATCTTTTT